GCCGCCCTAGACGGCGGAGCAGCTGCCCTTGGTGCGCCCGGAGAGCCCGGCTCCGCGCCCGTCGGGCTGGGCGCCCGCCCCCCTTCTCTGGCTCCCCGCCCCCCGGGAGGCTGCTTTCGGGCTCGCTCCCTGCCCCCCGGGAGCTCACACGGGGCCGCCGCACCAGCTGTTCGCTCCCGACCCACGGAGCGGGCTGCGAGGGGCGCACGCCGAGGAGCTGCCAAGCGGAGGCTGAGTGCGTCCCTTCCCCCTGCCGTGCGGTTTCAGTGCGCAACCCGCAGCGCTCAGGGAGCAGCCTCTCCCTCCGCCGCGGGAACAGGCTGGTCGTGGGGAGGGGAGAGCTCCGATATTGGGTGTAATTTTACCTGGCGAGGGCTAGTTAGGAACATAGTACGAAGTGGGGGGGACCCGCCTCCCAATACCTCTTTAGTGCAAGGTGGTTCCCTGCTCCTCGCACTGAGAAGCTCTTGCATAACTCCTCACCCCTGCCCGGGGGTGGCGAGAATCCTAATTGGTTACTGCGCTCAGAACGCATAGAGCCCTCGAGGTTTTATCACTAGGGCATTAAAACACATCGTCAGTGACAGACACCATGCCAAAGACCGGCCTAACTGACAAACAAAGGACTCCAGGCCCCACCCCCAAGCGAGTTATACAGGGCTTAATTGTACAGTTTATAGTAATATTCATAAGCAAAGCCACACCGCTTTTAGGGAACTATAGTATCTGTTTACATTGTGCCAGGATGCCAATCTTAGACTAAACAGAACATTAAATGATAAGCAGCAAAATGTCTACTTTGTCTTGTTTAGTTTCTCAGCTTAGATGCACGCACACACCTGTTTTTAGATATAAAAGATTTGAGTGTTACACAATTAACATTATAACACAGCTTATTTTATATAAGGTTAGCTGTATTGACCTCTTTACTGTAATTTTCAGTAATATCCACTGATTTGACTAGGCCCATGAGGTATCTTGAGGCTAAGTCTACCTCCCAGGATGCTGAAAGACATTTTCAAAAATCAACTGTGTTCCCACATAATTAAAGTTTACGTGCATTGGCTTTAAAATGAATGTACTTGATGGTAGGGTTTTTGTTTAGTTTGTTTGTAATTGTTCCTGGAGCTAGAGTTGTAATTGTACCTTTTTTTTTTTTAGAAATTGATTTCCATATGTGAATTTTTGAAACCATGTAAAAAATTGAGCCCCCGCTGTGCCAGACACTGTACAGACAGATAGGAAAAGACAGTCTCAGTCCTGATGAGTTTACAGTCTAAATAGAGAAGACAAAAGACAGGAGAGGAGATAAATGTAATGTGGTTCGTAGAAGGCTGCAAAGCAAGCCAGTAGTAACAACTCTGGGGCAGATACTCAGCTGCTTTTGACATCAGGGGAGCTATGACAATGTATGTCATCTGATGCTTTGACTCTTGGTCTCCCTAAATCCTAACCCAGTGCTATAGATATTAAACTGTACACATAACAGCATCTCCTTAGAAAAGGTTCGGAATCAAAGCCCACAGTCAGGTAGATTCTTCTATTAAAAAAACCTGATTAATTGAGTAACTGGATTCTTCTGTACTTGGAAAGTCAGGTAATAGGTCAAAAGTACAGCACGGCTCTTCAATAAAATAGTTTTAAAATGCATAAGCAAAGTACTTATATATCAATAAGTTTAAATCAGAGTTGTAAAAACAGGTAATTAGCGCACATGCTGTGATCATGTTTTATACTTCGCTTCCCCCCCCAAAGTCCCTAAAACAAGATGGCTGATGAAATAGGCAGATCTTATTTGTATTTCGAGTTCTCTCCAGATAAAATGTATGCTCTTGTTACTAAATTGCTAACAGTAAAAAGAAGGGGAGATATGACTGCTCTCTATAAATACATAGAGGGATAAACATCAGCAAGGGAGCAGGTTTGCTTAAATTAAGGAACCATGTTGATGCCAGCACATATGGATATAAACTGACTCAGATTTAGGCTTGAAATTAGACAAAGATTTCTGACCAAGAGTCTCCCAAAAGGAGAACAGTGGAGGAAGATGGTATGGGCCTGCCTACTATATGGCAAATGACCCATCTTCGTCTGCTATTACTATCTGTTTCCAATGGCCAGGGATGGGACACTAAATGGGAAAGGTTCTGACTTACTAGTGAGAATTTTTTCCCTGGCTCATGGGTCTTGCTCATACGCCTGAGGCTTGGTCTAGACTGGCAAGTTTTTCCGGAAAATCATCTGCTTTTCCAGAAAAACTTGCCAGCTGTCTACACTGGACACTTGAATTTCCAGAAAAGCACTGACAATCTCATGTAAAATCATCAGTGCTTTTCCGGAAAAACTATGCTGCTCCCGTTCGGGCAAAAGTCTTTTTCCGAAAGACTTTTGCCCAAACGGGCCAGTGTAGACAGCACAGTACTGTTTTCTGCAAAAAAGCCCTGATCGCGAAAATGGCGATTGGGACTTTTTTGCGGAAAACCGCGTCTAGATTGGCCACGGACGCAAAAGTGCTTTTTCGGAAAAGCGTCCTGCCAATCTAGATGCACTTTTCCGAAAATGCTTTTAACGGAAAACTTTTCAGTTAAAAGCATTTTCGGAAATTCATGCCAGTGTAGATGTAGCCTGAGTGTCTAACTCAAAGGCGGGGAACCTACATCCCTTGGGCCACACCCAGCCCCCTGCTTCGTTGTATCTGGCCCGTGGCAAGTCTCCACGCTGCAGGTCAGAAGCTCTGAGCCTGTCCCTGTACCGCTACGTGCAGGAGGGATCAGAGCAACTGTGCGCGCTGCCCCTGCTCCCAGCACCGCAGTTCCTATTGGCCAGGAATCACAGCCAATCAGAGCTGCGGGGGGGGCGATGCCTGCAGGCATGGGCAGAGTGCACCACACAGAGCCACTTGGCCTCTGTGCCTAGGGGCTGGGCATGCTGGCCACTTCAGGGAGAGGTGTAGGGCCAGGGCAGGGAGGCAGCCTGCCTTACCTCTGCTGCCCCACTGACTGGGGGCTGCCTGAAGTAACTGCCGCCTGGGCTTAGCTCACACCCCCTCGTGTACCCTAGCCCTCTGCCATAGGTCAGAACCCCTTCCCATACTCTATCTCCCAGACCCTGCAGCCCAGCCCTAAGCCCCTTCCTGCACCCAAACACCCTCTCAGAGCCCCCCCCTGCAAACCTCTTCCTGCAACTGAACTCCCTGCCTCAGCCTTGCGCCTGCTCCCACATCCCAACCCAGCGCCTCCTCCTACATACTAAACCCCTCATCCCCAACCCAGAGCCCCCACCCCAGCCAAGGCCCTCATCTCCCCTCCCGCACAGAACCCCTCATTTTTGGCCCCATCTAAGAGCTTCTGTGGGTCCCTTCCCCCACAGGGCTGTGTGTGGCCCACGACTGCTTTTTCCAGTAGATCCGTGGCCCCAGTCTTCCTGATTGTCCAATCTGGGATCCGGAAGGAATTTTGCCCCAAATCAGATTGGCAGAGATGCTGGATGAGTCTCACCTTCCTCTGCAGCATAGAGCCCAAGTCACTTGCCCATGTGAATTAGTGTAAACGGTGGAGTCTGTATAACTTTAAATCTTTCACCCAAGATTTGAGGATGTCAGTAACTGTGGGCGATGGGCCTACTGCCACCGGTGCGGGTGGGTGAGGTTCTATGGCCTGCACCACGCAGGAGATCAGACTAGATGCTCACCATCGTCCCTTCTGACCTTGACGTCTATGAAAGTAGAAGGGGAACCGTGTCTTTCCCTTTTGAACGCAGGCGAGCAGAGTTTTCTTTTCATTGCAGCAGCTGGTATCTCTCTGTGATTTTCCTAACCATCGCCCTGAAAACCACGATGAGTCAGTCTGTCTGGTGAAGGAAAGTGACCTCACCCCCACCTAGCAGTGCTGCAATAATGATGTATGGGCAGCGGG